TCCCTGTCCCTGGCGGAGGACAGGACTGGGTCGGGCGGGTGGACGGGCGGGAAGGGGGGCGCGCCCGGGGCTCCGGTCCTGCCCACCTGGGGTACCCTTGTCCCCCGCCCCCAGAGAGGGTCCCTGGGGGTGCCCCTCTTTCTCCCTTTCTGCCCTGGTGGGGGTCACGGCCAACTGCATACCCCGCTGCGGGCCTCGCCCCCTCGGAGAGGGAAGTGAGCCGAGCCGGGCGTTTCGGGGTGCGGGGTGATCTCTCTTGCTCTCTTCCTTGCGGACTAGGCGGGAGATCAGAAAACAGCCCTTGACCCTTGGACCCCAGTGCCCCCAGCCCCAACCTCGCCGTCCTTGGTGGGTGACCCGAGTCACAAGGTCGGGTTGCTCCCAACTCTTAGTTTGCTTGGCCGCCTCCTGGGCAAGGGAGTTCTGGAACCAATGCAAGGAAGAAACTTTTGCTGAGCCTCGTCAAGAGCGTAGAGCAGTACCTTTGGGGGTAAGGGTATGAAATTTCAGGTTGTCAAGTTTAAGGTACTGGCCTCGGGAAAGGGTGGACCCATACTGTTACTCTAAAAAAGGTTAGCAGGAGCGGTTTTTAGCCTTAGTGTTAAAGGATGCTTATCTATAATCACCACTTTATTTTCTTTCTCTCTCTCTCTTTTTTTTTTTTTTTTGCTGGGGGCAGGCAAAAAATTCCCACACATTTTTTTTTAAATGAAATTGCTTGGTAGTATGAAGACCCTTTGGCCTGAAAGTGATATGGATCCTCTTCTACAGGTGGAGTCAGTGAGTCAGTGTTGGGTTGGCTAATAAGCTCTACTCCCTGTTTTGATAGTATTTTTAAAATGAAATATCATTCTTAAGTGAACAATATTCAAGGTCTTTATTCTCAGGCGTTCAAAGGAATGGGAAAGATGGTTTTATCATGTGATGTAGGAGTCAGTTCTTGGCTTTCATAGTCTCAGGTGTTCTCTACTTGGCAAAGTTGAAGTATAGCTACTTGGTACTTGATGTGCGTCAAGATTCTTCTTGCTTTATTTGCCGAGCGTGTTATCTAGGGGTTTACAGATCTTTTCAAACAGTGTCACCCCCCCTCCCATTTTGAGTAGAGAAAAACTGCCCGCGGGGGAACATTTTGGGCCAATCACAAGGACAGTAGGCCCGACACCTGCCAGCTCCCAGCCCTAGTACCTCTGCAGTTAACCTGTAAAAGACTGTTGTATTTGGCCTGCCTTCACATTTAGCACAAAGCGAATTAAAGTCTCTTTGAAGGCTCAGGCTCTGCTTTTCCAGTCCTTAATTGAAGATACTTTATATCCCCTAGTGTAGTTGAACTTTCAGAATGACATCAATGAATAGAGTCAACTTGTTAATGGTGAGCCAGGTTCAGGTACACTGGGGTCCTGAGTATGACCTGCTTTGAACCTTGTTGTGAGATGAAGTAAGGCATTAGCCATCCAGCATGTTGAGCTGGCATGATCAGAAAATTGACAGGAAATTGGTTTTCCAATTATCCAAACAAATGACTTCCTAATAGAATGTTAACAGGGGCCTAAAGTAACAGTTTAGTGATACAAATACTGCGGTTTTGAGCTAACCTCTGTGAATTGGAATCTTTTCCTGTCATTTTTCAGTTGGTCCTCCTCCCATTTAGGGAAATGTAAGCCCATCCTGTCACTTACTTACACTGATTTGAAGCTTGATCTGGGAGAAGTTTTTGAACCTTGAATGTATTTTTAGAAGACTTGGTATTGAGGCTAGGTTGCTGTGTGAACAAACTGAACACAGTTAGGTGTTTCTTGGTGTTCCATCAGTAATTGTCTTTTAGGCAGTCTTGGTTGTCTTCAGAGCCTGGGTATTGGGTTAGGCGGTAGGACGTTTTCCCCCCTAGGTTGGTTTTAACCACCTTTTACCCCAGAAATTATTTTATGAATTGCAACAAGTTAAAATTTTTCAGAAAGAACAATTGTTTTAATAGTATTTGTTTTTCACGGTTCCAGTTTTAACATGGTGGGCACTTTATTTTTTAATGATAAGGGAGCTTTGATATCTGTCTCTGTTTTTGGAGGAGATGGGTCTGCGTAGTTTAAAATTTAACACAGTAATGCTGGAATAAAAGTTCACGATAATATCTAATGACTCTTCCACACTTTTTTTTTAAACAAAGGTATGAGGGTGCTGGTAGATGCCCGAGAGAAGCTTCATATTCCTTGGGGAGATGATGACAACCAGTTCCATGGAGATAAGTTGATGGCCTTTGACACCCGGGCTCCCATGGCTGCAAAAGGAATGGTGGAAACTGGGGTTTTTTTACAATATCTTCCTGCTATAAGAGCCCTGTGGGCAGACAGCGGCATACAGAATGCCTATGACCGGCGTCGAGAATTCCAGCTGGTAAGATGTTTGCCCTTTTAAAATGTGATTTTGTTTTAATGGCATTGAAAAATATGAGTTAGCACACTTTTTGACTGACTTCCACAATATAGTGTATTTATCCAAAATTGTCCTCTTAGATATTTGTATTGCTGTGTGAGCTTTTCCTAAGCGAGTAAACGGCATAGATTTAATGAAGCTATTACTGTTGATCATTTTTCCTTTTTGAAAGTTAGGTTAATGATTATTTCTTTGGCACTTTTAATTTTGTTCTTTTATTGGAATTAATTTCTCCTAACCAGAGTAACAGTATTCATCCTACAGAAATTGATCTTTTTTTCTTGGAGTAAGAGTTCAGTAACTGAACCTGTTTGTTTAAGCATACTACTTAATCATTTCATGTTACAGATTAAATTGAAACAGATTATAATCTTTAATGTTTAAGGCTAAATATAGTTTTTTCTTCGCATTTTGTGTTTTTTAAGGCTCCTTAACAAATCTTATAAAATGTTCCTTATTTAAATACAAAATACTAGTTTCTTTTGTTGTACCGCTGTTTCATATGGGAAACAGATTCTGTTTTATACTTACTTTTATCCTTAGTTTTGAACAAGACTAACTATAAAATTCTTAACCCTTACACAGAATTGGAAAAAAAAAGGATGGAAAAGAAATAATTTGATCATTACAGGTTTAAGTATACAAAAATAATAAGAGACAGATTTTTAGTCAGGTGTTTTTTATAATTAAATTGTGACTGATTGTATTCTGGGTTTTTTATTTGCCAAAGACCAGAAAGGTTCTATCAATGATAGCAATCTAGTGTATATGCAATTTGGAGGTAGTTCAGATTGAAGTGTGCCACTGTAATAGGATTAAAATAAAGTAACAGTTAAAAGTAGAGTCTCAGGAAGTTACTTGATGTTGTCACTGACATTAAAGTGATCCACATTTATGGGTGTGGCTACGCTAGGATGCACAGCCAGAAGTCTTTGTGCTCAGAAGCAGTCTTGACTATTCAGAGTTCTGGAAAAGTGATCATGGTATCTTTTTTTTTTTTTTTTTAACATTTTAATCTTTATTTTCTCCGAATCATGGCTTTTGTATGTATATATTACTAGCAACTGATAATGTGCTATAAGTGACTTGCATCTAATTCCCAGAGTTCTGGTTGGTTTTTGATCTTTGGTCAGTATCGTTATGTTAGCTGTGGTGGACCTGCCTGGCTGAGTTCCTTCCCATGTCTCTTCTCATTTTTGTGCATCATCCCTCCAGTTTATAGGTGTTGCTTATTCTTCTTAGTTCATTTTTCTCAACAGACCACACTTTGCGCCTCAAGCTGTTACTCATCTTTGCAAATGTAGGGAAGGAAAGAGCCATTTATAGTAAGCATCCAGTACATAGTAAATGAATAAGAGCGAACATCTGTGTACCTGAAAGTTCCCTGTGGGAAAGTTCTGTATTTACCCTGCATCCATTTAATCTGAAATTTTTAAAAATCTGGGCTTTCACAACTTGGCCTCCCATCAGGGGTCATCAGTATTGAGACAAGATCCCTAAGTATTTCTTTCTTCATTAGGAGCAAATAGGTAAAACTACTCAGGATAAGTACCTCCGCGTTCTTGGCATGAGCCACTTAATGCTTCAAGGCACAAGTTCTCAAAGGCTTGAAAAGGAAAGTTCAGAAATACTTTCTTTTTGATAAAAAGTGGAGAGACAGGGAAAGAGGAACAGGACAAGATCTAATTTTAAACTGGTGATGGGGATTTTTTTTCTCCTCCTGGGTGTATGTAGGCATTGTTTATGGTACTTGGTACATATAGTAGGTGCTTGATTATTAAGTTGAACTAACGATTTCACTCTCTGGCTTCTCTGTGGTGGTTGACGTGGTGATTCCAACAATATTCCATTAGGCTATTGGATATTTCCTCTAACCTTTTAATCCCCACATGCCCTGATTTTTTTGCCTCCATAGCTCTCTTCATGTAGTATCTCTGTCAAGATTTT